AAAATGGTACAACCATTGTGGAAAGCAGTGTGGCGATTCCTTAAAGAGTTGGAAACAGAAATACCATTTGATCCAGCCATTCCATTACTAGGTATATATCCTAAAGAAGTGAGAACCATGACGAGAACAGATATATGTACACCGATGTTCATCGCAGCACTATTTACGATAGCCAAAAGATGGAAACAACCTAGGTGTCCATCAACTGAGGAATGCATAACCAAACCATGGTACATACACACAGGGGAATACTATGCAATGCTAAATAATAACACAGAATCTGCAAAACACCGCATAATGTGGATGAACTTGGAGGACATTATGCTGAGTGAAATAAGTCAAACACAAAAGGACAAATATTGTTATTAGTCCATTATTGTAAAAGTCAAGGAAAGGTTTATCCATGGAAGGAAATTTTCTTTGTTGGTTACCAGGGGTGGGAGGGGAGGGGAGGGAACGCCGTTAGATAGATATATATAAGTATTGATTTGGATGAAGAGAAGGGCAATGTACCAAATGTGAGAGATCAATATGGTGGCACTGAGGAAAAGAAAGACACAGAGAGGTACGTGGGAGGTACAGACAATAATGATGAACCTTTTTGCACATACTGTACTGCATTGTCAGTGAAGGCAAACATGGGTATATGGGTGGAAAGATGGATGGACAGGCTGAACTATTAGGTACGTCTATGAAGTGGGGAGTGTATCTAAGAACATGTATAGGGTTGGCAGACAATGGTCCTATAAGTTTATGTGAATGATCAGCATTCCCAGGTGTATAGTAGAGGTGACAAGGGGCAAGGTTGTAGTCACTGCTTGGTCACAGCCAGCTACCCAGACTGAGTAGTGGAACCTGTGGCTCGGGACCACATTCACAGGGGACATCAAGCTCAATTGGCATAACATACTATACAAAACATTGTTCCACCTCCTACTTTGGCAAGTAGCAACTGCGTTCTTGAAAGCTAGCAAGCTGCTATCTGGATGCAACAATGGGTCTCTCCTTGTCCAGAGCAAAGAAGAATGAAGAAAACCAAAAATTCATGGAAACAATTAGTCCCAGCAACTGGTACACCATCCGATCTGCAGCCTATACGACTGTGAGACCAAAAGAACTAGATGGTACCTGGCTACCACTGTCATCCACTCAGAAGGGGATCTATGTAGGAGATCCTTGATAGAGAGGAAGAACAATGTGGAACAAAACTCAAAATCATTTGGAGAAAAAAAAGGGGGATACCAAGTTTGCTGGTCCAATAGAGCCCGGTGGAACCACTGAGACTATGGCCCCTAGCTGTCCTTCAGGTCTGGAATTGAACCCACACCTGTGGCTTCCAGCCAAGCAAAAGACAGGTATAGGAGTTGAACATTTACCCCAGGTAGATACACTCCTTGGAGAGAACAATCATGGGAGAAAAAAGGGCTGCTTATGTACAGGGAGACAGCTCAGGGGGCAG